AAGTTATAAAAGTAGCATGGATAATTAGGGCTGGGGTAGAGAAAATCACAAATGCAGGCGATGTTAAAGCCCACCCTGAAATCAATAAAAGGGAGAACGAGTTAATGAACTTCAAAAGACCCTGTCGATATTCCATTTTAGAATTTAAAGTTACCGCTCAATACAGACATTACCGACGCATTCATAAAAAGTTAGCCTCGACATAAAGTGAATATTTACAGATTCCGGCAAGTAAGTGTTTTAAATTTAAAAATACACAATAGATAGAGTAACAAACAGGTCTTCTTCTCGTTGGGAATTTCGGATGGAGGCTAAGCCTGTAAAAAATGCTTCTTCACTTCTTTCATTCAGCGGTCATAGCAAACCCGAAACTGGACTATTATTTCTTTGGGTAATATCTTATCTTGAAGTCCGCCTTTAGGTAAAGTTTTGAGTTCTTGAGCATTTCCTGCCATCTTCCTACCGTGGTATCTTCAACCAGGCCTTTTTGGTTGATTTAGGAGTGAAATCATCTTGTCAAATGCAGAGGCTCCATCGGCTGCAAAATAGTCCAGTCCCTGGAAGCTCTTTCTAACCGTCGTGCCACAAGCAGCTAAAACACGCAGTGGTGTTCTTTTACTGAAAGGGGTAAACTCGACTTCTTCGCAATACTGCTCATATTGAACAGCAATTCGCTCTGGTATTAGACACTGAATCACATTGGTACTTCCAATACGTTACCGTTACATTTGGACAGGCGTAAATTTTTTAGACCAAAAGGCATATCTTGAAAAATATGTGGGCTTGTTATGAACTGCAAAAAATGGTCAAGTTGGGCCTTGTCTATCCGTATCCTCGCTGAAGGCTGTACAGGAACGGGCGTCGCTACTCCATGTTGAAGGCGATGTAAGTTCGCCACAGTGTATCTATACTGGGACAGACCGGGAATAAATTCTCGTTTGGTAGAAAAACTCGCAGTGGCAGCCATAATTGAGAGGATTTGTCTCCGCGTGTCCCAGCTGCCGGCATTTTTGTACGTTTGTGCTATGGCCTCAAGGTAAAGACGTTGGAATGGGAGCATTATACCCTCTGCACCAAGCTCATCATTGACGGCCCTTGAAACTTGGAGTGCCGATCGAACGCTGCGACAAGGATATCTCTAGTGTGTTGTATGTACCTTCGTTTTGCTCTATCCGCTATAAAGGTTTGTTGGCACGAAGAACCACTTCACCGGAGCTAGTTGTGCTTGTGTTTTCGGATAACACAAAAATTTAGCTGTCGTCAATGGAAAAGTGTTTTACATTCTCACGCATATATTCTGTACTATTTGCCTCGGCTTCCTAGAGGAGGGAAAAATATGAAAAGTAATTAAATGATCGCAAATTAACACAAGATACCGATTAAACCTATAGACTGCCTATCTGTTTAAATGACAATTACCAATGAAAACGTTTCCTGTCTTTTATGTACGGACACGGGTTCAACAACAACTGTTGGCGAAGATAAGGCAGTTTCTGTTGAGTCCGCAGAAGTAGACACCATCATTTTACCCAGATGATCCCTGCATTACCTGCAAATAGCTACGGATCAAAGAAACACAGAGTTAGGCAAGGATGAATTGGCATGGTGATAGAAATGGTGTTATTCTTAGTCCTTCTTACTCATTAACGCTCACTCGTTCTTTAGCGCAACCTACAAGGGGATACTTCGGGATGAGCGCCTGGGAGAATAGGCGGCGGGGGAGGAAAGGGCAGAAAGGGGGCGTTAGAAAATGGTGGGAAGCGGGAGAAATTTGTTGAAATCACGTAACAATGCTTTTAAATATTTGGCAATCGAAGAATGGATAAAGGAAGGAAGCCAAGAAAAAAGGGGCGGAAGCCGGGAATGCAAGATACCCGTACGGAACGCGGCAGGAGACCCCCTGTTCCACCCCTATGACTCCTCGGTCGGCTATTTTGCTCCGAAGGAGAATTTCCAAAGATACTTTAGGCAAGAAGAGAGACCACTGACTTAATTGTCTGCGATATTGGCCGTTTGTTGGCGTTCCTCATCCTCTTGGGCACATTGCGTCCGTTTTATTCGTCAAAAGAGGGTCAAAACAATAAGAGTGTATTAGATTTACATATTTCTCCTCCTACTAAAGCAGTGTACGATTTGACTGCACTTACGCGACCCAACTGGGACGAGCATTCCAGTTTCTTTAAACAAGATTTTTTTCTGTCGATTTCACGATCACCTCGACAGGTTGTCGACTTGTGACCCGCTACTTCTGCTGGAACGTAACATCTAGTCTTGCCTGTTCGCCAGCGAGTACCGTACGCGTCTCTGTGTTTAGGTCATACCGGCGTCATATGCATCTGACGTTACTGTGCGATGAAAATCCCTGGTAAAGAAAACTTAATTAGCAAATTAATTCTGTAGAAATTAATAGTCCAAATGCATTTATTTTGCAATCGAAAATTGTAAATCAAAACGATCTTTACTAACCTGCCCGTGTAAGTAATAATTTCATTTCGTTGTTGACGCTTTTAACATCCGTCAAAATGTTATAACTCTTCCAGTGAGTTGTAACGTCCCTAGTACAGTCTTTCAATTCGACAAAGTCAGCCACGTTTGGATCGTTGAAATAGCGAGTCAACAATAATAGAGTCTTCTGCAATTCAAATCAACAGAAAAATTCGTATCTATACATCAATTTACAGCCCTCTTCAGCAATGTCTACGGATTTTTTATTGTATAATTTCATATCATTTCCATATCAAAGAATTTTTTGACCATCTTTAGCTATCTTGTTTACTTCGTAGTTCTCAAGTACGATTTCTACAGCTGATTTGCATCATGCAAATTCCTGACCTTAGCCACAATGCGTCGCAAACTCTTTTATTTTGCCGGCACTTTTCTGAATTACCCAAATTTTTTATTTCATATTATTTTCGTATAAGGACCAAACTTTGTGCCAGCATGCAGTTTGACATGATTTCTCACATACCAAGACACGTTTTGAAGGCTTGAAGTCGCTCAATTTTTCGCTTTTTGCAACAAGTGTTTGAGAGTGCTTTGTTAAAAAATCATGAATTTTGAATTTTACAATTAAACCAAAGCTCCTAAAAGTGACACAAATAAACATCAAATGAATTACATTTTGAAGTAAAAACATCCCCGATTTCTTAAGAAACATCCTCCTTCAGTACTAGCACACTAAAGTTGGTCAATTTTACTGTATTTTTTGCATAATTAATAAGGTAAAAAACCAAATTTTCGTTTTTCCCCATTTTCTCGGACACATTTGATTTTTCAAACTTTGAGATATTTTTTTTGAATATATCTCCCTAAAAGGGTTTTCCAGGCAAATTAGCAGAACTTTCGATTTTTTTAGCCTGGCCAGCGATTCTCGACATTTACAGTCGTGGGCTCTTAACTTCGTAAGGATATATATTTAGATATTTAAACCATTCTTTACGTTCTGTCTTTATTAACATCTTAAATCGCGGTTTGTTTGTAAACCTATAGCTGACATTTTGATATAAATCTAACTAAATAGAGCAAGAATCTTTATGAGTAAAAAAAATTTTAGAAATTAAAAGAACCTCATCAGTTATTAATAAAGTATACTTTTTACACTTATGATGTCCTGTATGAACATCAGAACATCAGATTGGACAAGCAACTGCAAAAACTTTGCACAATAAGCTCACCTTGACCCACCTGAATAAAGAGCAGGCATAAGTGGTGAAGAGATAAATCTCAGA